AGAAAAAACGGATGTGTACATAACGGAGGTTAGATTTAGTTTTATTGGCATGTAAGCAGTAACTTCTTGCTCGAATTAGTCATTTCCACGCTTGGTGTGGTACAAATTCTCACAGTATTTGGGTTCCGGTGACTTGAAATTACCTGTAAATTAAATAATTTGCTTTACCTGGGCATTCACTTCAAGAGTTCTATTTTGACTACCTCGTTTGTCTTTATCTTGTTTTGCTTTTAAAATGCATCCACTCTCAGGCCACATGCAAAGTTTTAATAACGAAAAGTTGCCAAAATACAAGGAAATCCATTAATATGATATAATCTCATAATTGCAACATTTCTTAAAGCGATTAGGATTTTCGTGTTATCCAAAAATCACGATATTTTTCAACAATATCGAAGAAGTCTGCTGAATAAGCCAACTTAACATCTGCAAGTCAAAATATGGGCCAATATGATAAATCCTCTTTATTCATGCAATAATTTTTGCCTGCATTATTCTACGAGGCCAAAATGAGATGAATAAACTGTTGTGCATAAATGTACAGCCTGCTCTTTTATTAAATTTTGCTTGAATAGAACATTTTTCTCAATTTACCGTCTCTTACCTCTACCGCTATGAATTTGCAGGCTTGTTCGTTTGCTTAAATAACAAACAAAAGGTCTTTCACAAGGAAGTAAGAAGAAGTGTAAATCAGGATCGTTTTAAGAGAGGAATATCAAAGAGATGTAAACAGATTTTTGTCACTGAGAGTACACAATTTTCCAATTGACGAACAGGGCGAAGTATTACTAGACTACGATAGTATTGCCTTGAGATCAACACCTGCAACATTCTTGTTCGAGTGCACAACTTTAAGGTCAAAAAAAGTCTATCTTAAAATTGTTTTTTCTTTCTTCAATCTTCAGCTCAATTTGACTGACGAATCCCTAAAGGCTGCAACAACATTATTTCCAGTTTTTTTGAAAAAAGAAGGCAAGTATTTTCAAGAGGACTGTCAGGTTTTAATTCCTCTCAGGTTTTAGACAATCCCGACAACACTGTCAGGTGTTCCAAGCTCATTCGGAAGACCTCTGCTAAAGGGCTGGGTTTTGGAAGAATAGGTACCTTTTTTAATCTGGAAAACTCACTTAAAAAAGGTGTTTTCTACAACCAGTCTAGGCCAAGATTTGGCTGCAGCAAGTTTTTGCTGACAATATCACAGGATCTCAAAGATTCTTTAGAAAGAGCACCATCACAATTTGATTCAATGCAGCATTTGCAAGACAAGATTTTTGTATGTATAGAAGTAATTTGCAACTTGAAATAGAAATGTTGGCAGTTTTGTTTTACAATGTGTTCCTTTTCACTTATCACAATTCTAGAAAAAGCTATTAACAGATAAAAATAAAAATCATATAATTTGAACTTCAGCCTTTTACAATAACTACAGCAGTGCAGCTTTAGCCAAAATAGTGTGACAAAATCGTAGTGTAACAGAGCAGGTACTCCTGTTCAATTTCTTCCTTTGTTTAGTATTTTATTTCAGTAAAAAGGGTATAAATAGTTCAGATAGAAGTCAGAGGAAACGGGTCATTTTTAGATCACTCGGATGAGCTTGGGTACACAACTGTTTGAGAACGGACAGGCCGGGCAATGATTAAGCGAAGTTTGTCGTCTGTTTTAAAGAAATCATAGCAAATCTAAGTATTTAGTGCAGAAGTTCAAAGGACAAAATAGGAATCATAGATCTCAATCTCTTGCTGCCATGCAAAGAAAACCCAAAGATTCATATTCTGCATGCAATCTAAATCGCTTTGAATTTCAAGGAGGTTTGATACTTCAGTTGGGCTTTCTAGTAGATAGATCATGGTTGGGATTAACGAGGTTTCTATTGTCAGAGAGATTCTTGTTACCAAGAAAATACCTGGGAACTTTCGAAAAGCCAAGCTGAAGCAAAAATGAGCTTCTAACTCAGGTGATGATTTTGAGGAACTTTGAAATAATAAAACTCTTTTTAGATTATTCGGTAGTTTTCCCAATAGTGTTATCACTATGATGTTATTTATCAGTTAGTAAGGAATACCGCTGCATAGTTCCTATGGATGACAATTCAAAAATAAGACACATCAAAAGATGTATTAAACTTTTTAGATGTCTTTTCAGGGATAAAAATTCTAAGATTGTGCAATTTCCTAGTGAAAACGAAGCCATAAATTTCGCTCTCGGACGACCATTCCCCTATTCTCCGCTTGGTCTATAATGTCTATAAAGTCGTTTAATGGTTAGGCCACTGTTCTCTCGTGTACTCTCGTGTACTCTCGTGTACTCTCGTGTACTCTCGTGTACTCTCGTGTACTCTCGTGTACTCTCGTGTACTCTCGTGTACTCTCGTCTACTCTCGTCTACTCTCGTCTACTCTCGTCTACTCTCGTCTACTCTCGTCTACTCTCATGTACTCTCGTGTACAGCCAGCCCGTATAAGTAAGATCCTATTGCATGAAAGGTTGGATCTCATTGAGGTAGGATGAATTTTTCCAATAAAAATTCATCCTAGAAGCTAGAAGATGGGATGAAGCTGGAAGATAGGGTTCAATGTTCATATAAACGAGACAAATTTCGTCTCACTTGTCAGTAGACAGGCTGGAAGGTGGGATAATTTTCTCTATATACAGCTGGAAGGTATGGTAGAATCTGCATGTAAACATTCGATGGGTTCATCCCACTTGCTAGATTATGGGCTGAGATGTGGGATAAATTTGCGCATAAAAACAGGCCCTTGGTCAAATAATACTTTAAGTGGGAGTTAACTGAAATGTTTTTGGGCATTCTCTTTTGGCTACATGGCAGAAGTGAGTTGCTCAACCATAAGGAGATTTTTACTTTATTGGTAAACAATTTATGTGTTCTTCAGCATCATCGAACATGCCTATAGAAACTCCTTCATACCTCTGCTCTTACCTTATTTTACAAACTCTAGGTTACTTTTCACATCACAACATTTCTACGAACAGAAGGATAAGCATAAACTGATAACTGGTATTAACTAGAAATGCTTTGAAAAAGTGCATTAAAATAAAGAGCTGATTGCTGTCTTTAGTTTAATTTTATCTTCCAGAAGAGCCTGAGTTTTAAACATATTATTATCAAATAAGCCTTTATTATATAGTTGTCTCATATGGTAAAGTTGCCAAACTCAATGGAACGATTTTCTAGAAAAACTGACAGCAAGCAGAAGATATTAATCACCTATCTGTAAATCTGTAAATTATTTTATAAGTGCATTAATTGTCTTGGTTCAACTTTGCTTTACAAAAATTTGCTTGACAGTTAAAAGGAACACTATTTGTCAATCCTAATCCGACGCAAGAAACTCTCCATTCCATTTATAATAAATTCTGGTAACAACAATGACAAACGATTTTATAATAATCGGTGCTATAAACACTTGTGACGTAATAATCGAACTAGTACCCAATGCTCATTCTCGCATTTCAAATGTTGTGACGAACTTGCGGTAACAATCACTTGATGTCGGCTTGCAAAGACGCTTTACCTTCTTCTTAATGAAGCCTAAGGTGAAAAATAAGGCACATGATTGTTCTTTAGGGTAACCTTCTCGGTCAACAATATTTTTGAACGTTTGCGCTCTCTTCAGAGATCGAGTTTTCCCACAACACGCTGATCGCCAAAAAGTGGCCCGCGGAAAGATGGATGATATTTTACGGAACTCTATACTTTGATAAGCATCAAAGAATTATTCGCACCCTAAACACTGGAAGTTTGACTTGCCCACAGCGATTATCTAAATCATATATCTTTCATAGGTAATTCAACTATTATTTTTGTTAAAGACATCTAATTCCTTTTGATTTTATTGCGATTATGGTTGATGCTGATTTAGATTTGGCTTCGCTGCTTTGTAATAATAAATGCCCTTCTGCTTCTCATTGTATCTATTTACGTGCTTCAAAGTTCAGTCAATCCAATCAACGTTTAATGCTTATTAATTAAAATAGGCGATCAGGAAATTGTATCGTTTATCCTACGCAAGCATTAGGGAAGATAAAATTTTTGTATTGAATATTCTTGGTGGCATGTGAAGGAAAAGAATGCGGAAGGAAACCGCGAATTTATCATAATTCTCGAAAAACCTTTTAGCGTGTTTGTTTTAGTTTCAACCAACGCACCCACTAGTACCTGATCTTGCTTTTAATTATTGCAATGCCACCCATAAAGTTACAGCTCAAATATTTCCACATTTTATCTTAGGTATAAAGAGAATCCACGTTGCTAACAAGAAAAAATTTCAAAAATTTCCATCTGTTTCTCACTTAAACATGTTTTTGAAAATAGATTGCCGATTGGCATTGCAGATAGATGACTTTTTGCAACTCACATGTCAAAATGCTTTGTGAGTATCAAAATCAACCTAGATTTCAGACAATTCAATTTCAAGAAAATTCTTCATATATTATTATCGTATTCCTTGCGTTGGTGCAATTTGTTGTTCTATTTTTGTTTATAAACTAGTTTCGATTATTTTTGACCTAAAAAGTAAAGTTTCTTCGATATTTTGCATGAGCGGATTGTGCGCAAAACGCTAGTCGTTAGTGACGATGAGTAACAAAATACATACAGATTAATGTATACAGTAGCGGAAATTGCGGGGTTGTGGGGCGCAACCTCCCCCCAGGTCTTACCAAATTGTCGGTTTTGTCGGCAAAAACATGTTATTTTTCGGCAAAATTACTTGCATAACCCCCCCCCCCCCCCCTCAATTAAAAAATGACTTCTTTCTTTCTCTGTATGTTTACGAAACTTACTGTTTACCAGACTGACATAAAGTGCTCGAAATTGATAGGCAATACACTCTCTGCCTGATGATCACATTGAATGTGAAGCTGGGAGTTGCAACTTAGAAGTGTCTTGTTCTTTACCCAAAAAAGTTTAGATATATACATAGATGAATAAGAAGCTCTTTGCAAAATCAGCAATAAACTTTAGAAAAGGTGATACAAGTTTTATAAAAAGATTCCTCAATGCGATTACTTCATTAGCATCAAAGCTAGATTCTTAAGCTTATATTTTTCATTTTAAACCTAATACTACACTTAATGTCTTTTAAAATTTAGGAATGAATTATCAACTCTATTTTCCTAATATCTTCAGCACCACTACGAATAAAGGCTACCAGAAGAGTATAGAATTAAGCCTAAATTACTATGCAGCAAACATTATTTTCCATGAACACGTAAATAGACTATTGCAAAACGCGGATTTTAGAGGCAAAGAATTTGGGGTGTGGGCTAGACTATGATCGGCTTTTGGTGTCATACCCAAAAGTTGTCTAGAAAAAGATGGAATAGCAAATTTTACCAAGAAAGTTTTGACTACTTTTCATTTCATTCATACGTCTATTGAAGGTAGCTCTTCAGCTTCAAAGGGCCCACCATTTAAAAACTTACAGGAAGATCTATTGCATAACAAAATAAATTAACCTAGTTACAAAATAAATAAGATAGGAGAATTAACCACGTAGATTTTTGCGTCATTCAGTTACTGCTGACTACCAAAAAAATCCTCTTACCAAATCAAGCAAAATAGACCGAATGTTGTAAAATTGCTCAAGGGTTGTTGCACTCCAACTCCCCCCGAAAAGTTCGTCTCTGAATTTCACTGTACTACAAAATGCTAATGTATTAATCGAAAGGATGCCTGAAATAAGTAGCACTGCGAATCGAACAAACAATTCAAGAGATTTGCTATCATTCAAATACTATAAATAGGACAATCGAATACACGGTATGTGCGTGCGTGTCTTGTGGATGACCTCAGAACATTGAGCTTCAAGAAGACAGATTAATGCTACCATAAATCCTATTTATCGAAGACAAGAACGTAAACTGAAGTTTAAAGTTTTGGTTATATGGCACGGACTAATGAAAAATCAAAATTTGGTCGGTTTATGTGCATAGCAATGACATCAGGAAAATTTTGTCAACAGCAATATCTTATGTTAGATACTCAAGCATTAGAAATGCTAAGGTAAAGATCCCTCTGTATTTCAGCGAAGTGCTCGTTCAATCTTCCCACTTGAAACCTGCAGCAACCATCAATCGATTTATCGCACATTAAGACTCAATGATTAAGTACTTAAAGACATTAACAGCACTGTTGATGAAACGATTACCAGCTTTATCCCAGCAAGTAAACATGTTTTGATAAATCTGTTTGTTAGAACAAGACTGGCAGGAAAGATCTGTACCTGCACTGTACTCCGAGTTTCACCCACTTATAACATCTGTCCATCTCTGCAAACACTGCCAAAATTGGGATACTAAAGTCTACTCACAAGAACAATCATATCCCTTTCAAGAATGATCATTCAATGTGTTGGGTAAGCTATAAACACTTCTTCCCACAAATTCTCCAATTAGAAGATAAGGTACTGTACCCCATTTCAATGTATCCCATCCTCGCCGTATTTTCTCTATGAACATTTTGAAATAAATCATATTTATTCACTCCCTGAAATCTTTCTCGCATTCCAATTTTCAACCAAAGGCTAAAAACCTTGTAAGACTTGAAATCTTTCAAACAAAAAGATTTATTGAGAAGAAGCTTTTTTGCAAATGACAGAAAATGGCTTGTGATGTTTTTTGTTATCGTTATCTTATCCACAAATGACGTGGGCAATCGAACTTTGCATCTGTTATCAGTGATCTTGTCAACATGTCTCGTCCTGAGGCGATCTAAAACTACGCCTATGTCAACTGCCAAGCGAATTCCAATCATACAAGCCAACGTTCATACAATCGCTATTTTCAATTCATGATTTAACATTCGTAGTAGCAAAGATAATACGAACGAAAAAGGCGTGCCCGCAATCAGTGTACATTTTTCGTATTCACCTACCTGCTAATCCTCGAATACAATAACAAAGATCAGAAACAAAACATGTTTACTAGTTGTGTTAGGAGATTTCCACCTATCTATTAACAATTCTATGTTTTTCCTATGCATAAACAAAGTGTGCAGATGGCCCAGTGGTTAGGGTCGTGGACTACAGGTCTAAAGATATGAGGATCGAACCCCTGACATAACCAAACATTCACCCAGAGTGAAGAGAGTCACCAGCTCTCTGCAATTCCAGGCGTAGGTATTACGAGGTGTGGCCACATCTAGAGGAAGGACCAATGTCCTAAAACAACTACCTTCAGATGCTGGTTGAAAAAAATACAAATTGACAATTCAATTCAAGGGAAAATAGTCCAGATTGAAAGCGCTTCTTCTGTGTTGTGCCTCCTGTTATTTTGACATGCCTTTATTGAAAATGTTTGCCTAGCAGAGCATAAGTCTTAGACTTGAGGGCAACTGAATGCTTTACAATAAAGATTTATGATAAGGCAGAAAAATGTTCTTTTGCAAAATATCTACTCAAAAATATTCACTTGAAAACCAACAAAAGAGCAAGTTTAAATGCTCCAAGAGTCTTCAGGTCATTGCAAGAAAGAAACAATAGTCAATAGGGTTATGATCCTAACGGATAGACAAGAACTGCTTTCCACAACTCAACTAAATTATCTCTAGAATATCATTTCTTTATCATCAAGTCCTTTCATTAAATTTATAACTGTCTGAGAAGGTGGAGCCTCTTTTTAAGCTAACCTCCTGCTATTGTCATCAGCTGGATTCCCCTCAATAAGGACAAATATAGAGAACAAAGTACAAAGACCGTTATATATTCATAGGTTTCTTGGATAATCATCATGAAAATTATACTTGTCAATTAAAAGATAGGTTGATAGAAATTTTGGTCTTCTCAGGAAGTCTTTTAACTCAGTGAGGATAAGATTAATAATGGGCATTGATAAAGGATCTTTCATGAAAAAGATATGAAAAAGTTTTAATTTCTAGAAAATAATACATCACTTGACTTGTTGACTAATGAGCCAAAAAGAAACTACTTACAGACTGACAACAATTAAGCATTAATTGATGGTATCATATCGAAATTCTGAGCAAATCTTTCATATAAAAGATCACATTCATCTTATCTAAAGACCAAACACATTTTACACCAATTTTAGAAACACTAACAAGGTCCGTTTAACTACTCAAAAGGAGTTATATTTAAAGCTATGTTGCATCCAAAACCATAATTACTTAATTCTTCTCTGCTTTAGCGGTTCTATTAATGCCATTTATCAGTTTTTTCCATTTCTTCCTGTCTTGTGTGATTTCTTTAGACTTTTCGAAGGTCTTCATTTGTTTTCAGCTTCATGCCACTTGTTGTATATTTTGTTACATTCTCATTTAGCTTCCACGGTAGATTTGTCCGTGGTATTTCAGCCTTTTTTGTCCGTGGTGAATTTTCCTGCCTTGCTGACTTTCGGGCAGGTGTGTCTTCATGGAGTGACTGTATGCGTCCAGACAACTTCCATCTGTTTTCCAAAAAGGAGTTGATACTTTTATAAAAGTATTCAGGAATTGACATAGTGAGGGAAGGAAAGCAGCTCTAAGTTTTGGTACTTTTAATGCGTGAACAATGTTCCATGATGAATCTAAAAATTGTCACATAAAGTCATTGTATTAAATGATCTATATAGTTCATCAGGTGCACGTTGAATTGCATGCATTATAGAATGCTTACATGAAGGAATTTAATGACACTGGTTTCAATTCTCTTTGACAGGGCATTTAAACTGCACGCGAAAATTTTTCTTCACTATTCTTGATCTTTGAAATTTGTTCGTCTAAAGTTTTCAGTTTGTGAATTCATAGAGATGTATCACGTGCTATTAGAAAACGGAAAATACTTTTCAAGAAAGTAGTGTAGCTTTATAGTACTATCAAGAAATATATTTGCTATTTAGGATTTGATACTTAAATGGTGCTAATCTTTTGTGCTTTGCTCTGTATATCTTCTTATCAAAGACACAGCTCGAGAAAGTTTATCAAGAACTTGAGGAATATTAACAATTTTAATAAAATGAAAGATGTATAGGTAAAAGTTGAAAAAGGCATACTTTCTAGAGTAACTGTTTGCAATTGATATGTTTTCTAAATTTCTACGGATTACAACTTGTTGTTCATGAATTTAATGAATATATAACATTGATGTCTGAGCATGTAAAGAGGTACATAGTCATAACCAATTATAACTGCACGCCGTAAATATAAAAAAATATAGACTCCATTTTTCAGTTTATTTCAATGAAACTTTTATAGAAATATTTCATTGAAAAGTTTTGCTGAGAAAATCTCCTTAAGTGTTTGACGTGCTACCTAAAAAGACAATGAAAGCTTTCTCTTGCCTTATAGCAATTATAGTATAAAAATTTAATGGTAACCAAAAGATGACTAATTCTATTGATGAATAGTTCAAAGGAAAAAGGGTTTCTGTTTGTTTCCTTCGTCTCGATCAAGTACTGACCTTCTTCAATTCTTTAATCTTTGACGTACTTTAAGGTTCCAGATAAGAGTTCAATTTCTTTCTACCACTGAAAGATCTGGACTATATAGCTTTGACGTCCGCAAATTCCAAACTCGTTAGTGAAAGGACGAGCTTTCACCTCAAATTATCATTAACACGTCGTCAATTAGCATTAGGAAAGTTTAATTCCGCAGTTACTAAAAACAGCGTCCTACAGACTTTCGACGCCACAACAGCCTGAATTGAACATTTTCAACTCATCTGAATTGAGGCTATTTGGGTCTTCAATATGAGTTTCGTTACTTTGCGTCAATCTTGAAAGTGAATGGAAAAATGACAGACTAGATTAATAGTGAATGGAAAATGACAGACTGAGTTGACGGAAGTTGATAAAATCAAACTGCGTAATCATAAGCTCTTGGAAAACAAGAACTAACTAGAATGTTTTTAAAAAAAAGTGAGTAGAAAGCTTTTTTAGGCATGACGTCACTTGCTCGAATGTGATGCAATCTAGAAATAGATTTGCATTCGCGTTTGCAAAGGTGTTCTTAAAAATGTTCAAGTTCACCACAACGATCCCAAAATGTTTGAAGAAAAGTAAAAGAAGGCAAGCTATGACATTATTGCAACAGAAATATAACTTGTTTTGACCGATCAAACCTTCAGTGTGATACCGTTATCAAAATTGAATTTACTCAAAGCAGACATCGGCTCAACAGATGTGGAACAAACTGTCACAACATCATAACAATCGTTAAAAAGCCTATTCGTTTTTCAAGAAATGACTTCATATTTTCAAGAGATTTATTTACCAAAATGGTTAGCTTACAGACTTATCCCTTGACAGACATGCAGAGTTAAAGGTTTTTATTATGGGTACATCATCAGCTTCCATGACGTTGTGCTGAGTCATAAGCAAACTTGGAACTTTTCTGTTATGCACCACTCTTTGTGTTTAGCAAGCAACCACTGAAGACCCAATGCATCTTGTAAGGAAAATTTATGATGACTTTGGCTGGAAAAGCAAAACACAGGATGTATAGATTTAGTTGTAGAAGTTCACACATCTCGGACCCTTCAGAGCTCAATTTCCTCTATTCAAAACGAGTTTTATTTTATAAATCTTAGTTCTGTCTATTACTTTTTCATATTTACTTACATAAGCTGTATTAGGTTTATATTTCGATTTGTTTCTACTCACTGCTCTATATCTTTTTGAATTCGTGTTCTGAAAACATAATTTTGTAAGTTCTGTATTCATTTTTAGTATTATGTGTAGCTACAGAAGTGAATTTTCTTCTACCCTGCATTCTATAGATATAAGGCCACTTTTGTGTAGGAACCTTCATGTGATGTTGATACTGACAAAGAGTTTTTTAGTGCATCTTTTTGTATTTTAAGTTCTTTCAGAGGCCTCAACGTATGTCTGTGCAAGTGTCACAGCCATATACTACTCTTTTTCAAGGGAAAAATGTGAAGGGCGAACACAAAATACCAGTTCTTGTAATCAATACTTCTTCCATAGAAAGTGACGATAGAATCAAAAAATCCCAATCAAATATAACAATTCCATCCCTCAACCTGGACACAATTATTCTCTGATTCTTTTTTCTGTATGGAAAATTTAACGATGGTTCATTTTAGTGTCCCGCGATAAGATTTTAGACACACAACTGTTATGCACTAACGAACCCCTATTAAATGCAAGACTTTTAAAAACGCTCTGCTGCCTTCTGTTAAAGCAGTAGGAGAAGAGGGATGCTTGCATATCAATGATTGTCATCAAAGCTATGCAGACATTGAAATTCGTCCCTCTGTCATTATTAGTACTTCTTCAGTACCAATGTTTCCACTGCAACTGCAATACACTGGTCAACTGAAAGTCAATGTTACCCAAAAAAATGTTCAAATCTGCTGGACATTTTGCAGCTAGCAACGATATTATATAACCCTTTGAGTGACAACAAATTTACAACTTAATTCATTATCACCTGCCCAGGGGCATTTGTCCGGGTGAGTTATTCATAAATTGCCATCTAATTGTATGAAAACTGCCCCCCCCCCTCCCTCCTCCTGACATCAAAAATGTAATAGGTCGTAATAGTAGAACATTCGAATAAATAACAAACTTATTCGATTCATTAAATTAGCATCCTCTCCTTTATTTTTCATTGTACCGCCTTATAACTCTCGTTAATTACAATGATAGACATGTCACGTGATTTCTATTGCTTTTTGATTGGTCCTGTTAGAACAAACACATTACAATACTCACTACATTTTGAGCAAGCAACGCAACGACCATGCACCCAAGTACAGCTCACAATCACAACCACAAAAAGCCAATCACTGCAACAGTGAAACCCCAATAAAGCGAACACCTTTTAACAAGTAAAATTTCGCTCGTTGCAAAATGGTGTCGTTCCAAGATGATGTCCATTGTTTTGCTGCAAAAGACTTTGATCGTAGGAAAGGAAATTATGAAGCAAAATTTGTTTGGTGTCCCTTCTTGTGACTTGTGCTTATATGCAGGGTTGCCGTCCTAAAAAAGTTAGAAAGGGGGGCTGTCCTGTAGGTAAATTCAAGAGGCTACACCCATGACCAAACCCAATATACTTCCATTTGTGTTGAAGACTCTCCGTTGTGTCTAGAAATCATTCCAACTTTCGATAAAAAGACTGATAAAAATTTGCTCATTTATGAGGAACAAACAGTAATTCGTTCAACCAAATATGAACCCAATTGTTAAGGAGGGCTAAGCCCCCTCCCCCCTTAGCCCCCTCTCCACGGCAATACTGCTTATATGAAAGTTTCACTGTGCTTCAACAATTTATAAACACTCTCGCTACAACAAGCAAGGTTGGGACTTTGCAAAGGGGTAGGAGACAGTTTCCGCGCACGTTTCGTTCAACATATCATTAGTACAACATACCAATTGATAACCAAATGTTTACATACTATGGCCACAAACACTAAACATACAGCAAAATCTCAACCGAAAATCCCACTACCCTATTTTCACTTTTCTCACCCACCTCTATGCAGAATCGACGGCTAACTAGCCACTTTGACAAGAATGAACTCCATCAACGCTACAATCGCCGCTAAAATGACTAGAAAGTCCTTTATCAGCTCCACCATAATCGATGTTCACCAGTGTCGCGTCCATTAACGCATTTGACACTATTCAAATTTCTGAACCGGCTATTCACAAAAACTAACATTGCACAAAAACAAGAGCGTTTGTTAGATTGGCAGAAAGAGCAACAATTTTACGGTATTTTACAATTTAGTACACACATGAAAAACAATTGTTTTGCTGTATAAGCAAGATATCATCGTGATTGTATTTTTTTTGAATTGGTCAATAGTTTTGTAAACATGAACAGATTTGTGGCCGCAAAAAATCTACAATTCGCAGTGAAAACACAGGAGAAAAGCTCCTAATTTCTTTCGACTCAACTTTGCGTGAATTCTTCAATCATTTTTTCTGTGGGCTAGATTTTTCTTGAATCACATGTGAACTTTATCATTAAATCACAATTTATATGTCAGTAAGGGGAGATTCGTGCCGCCCAGGATATGCATAACTTTGCTAAGCTTGTTTTCTATTGGCTAAAAATGTTTTGTGGTTGACATCCCCCTACGCAAAGGTCTTTATCAATGGGAAAGCACACACAACGTTTCATTGGTGTCTTACTGAAGTTAGCGAACAGTATTCTCTCACACAAGCTGATAAGAGCACAATGTTTCTGTTTAAAGCATTCTTAAATTTGACCTGGCTCTCTCTTTGGTACAACTTCTCAGTTGGTAAGTCTTTTTCGTGGTTGTATTACATTTGATTGTTTATATTTTATTATGAAAAAGGTTTACGGTTTGATCAATTCCTTTAAATATGAACTTTAACCAAGCTGAAATTTATCCAGCTAGGTAAGAAACTTCGTTGTGCATGTGTAAAGCAAAATAAACCCGCCATTGGTACCGCAAAAGAGCGGAAACATAATAATCATACTGTAGAACCTTTCGTTTGACACTCGTCAGTGTATAAATGTCGAGTAACGTCCAAACGTAAGCAGAAAATTTATATCCAGATTAGGCAAACGCAACAAAGATTCCATAAATATACTAGAATGCGTGCGGTACAATATAACGCTATAATAACGATGAATATAAGTAAATTGTACCAGGAAATTTTTTTAAGTAAACAAGACGTTTCGAGAATAACCCGTTAAGTTTTTTGACTTGATAACGGGCTATGCTCGAAATGTTGTTATATATTTAAAAAAAGTTCTCCTGGTACAATTTACTTACATTCATCGTTATTATAGGCAAAAACAAACTGCGTTACCGAAAAATCAGAGGCGTGACGTTCATTTTTCTTGTGTAGTTTCAGAAAACATTTAGTCTCGTTATGCTAAGATTAAAATGCTAACAACTGTGCCATCACTGTTTTTAAATGTTCGTTTGAAGTATTCAGAGTGCATTCGTCTTGTTTACGATTTTTAGATTATTTGAAAAGGAGTTAGCTTCCTCCTTTCTGTCTCCTCATATGTTAAAATTTCAGTTTTATTGAACCTGTTGATATTAAAAGTTTACTTTAATGCTCACAGTAGCTTAATTGGACAATACTGTGTCTGTTTCTGACGACTTGTTAAACGTCGAACATTCGCCTTATTTTGCCAGGAATGATAAAAAAGAAAGTAGAGAACAGAAGTATGTGAAATGTGTGATGCAAGAAAATTGAATATATAATCAAATTGAAACTTTGCTTCGAAGGCTGTTTAGCTAATACTGCAAAAACGATAACAATTTCCTTTAACTTTAAAATATGACACTACAGCCCCGAAAGGCACGTTCTTTTGCTACCCACCTTCTCAGAACGCTAAGAAATCCAATCTTTACATTCTGATTTGTTTCCTGCAATGAAACCTTTCACAACCCTTTGAAAAATGTCCTAAGGTTGTGAAGAACATCAGGAATGTTGTTAATTTTGATCCAGTATTGCAACATCGTTAACAAATGCATAATATTTCTTTCAACTTTTCCACTTAACATCTTCTTGCAGTCATGCAACAACACACCCCCAGGCACACAAGAGTCGATTTCATGTAACCTTTAGTGGTCAGGGATGATAAAATAGGTGATGCCTTCTATGAGAGCATTCAATTCCACCCGATCCATACATGCTGTTGTCCAATGATTAGTGTGATAATGAATTTTGAGGTTTCTACATTCCTTACAAGAGACAGTGCTGTAAAACAACACCAAACGCTTTCTACACAATCCTTAGCATATGATGTGTTGTCAAATGAGTTTCCATTGATCTTTGATCTCGTAACTCGTTTCTTCCTTCAGATTACGAAATAAAAAGATTAACTCATATAGTTCAGGATACCCTAACCTCTACATGCAGGTTGGGGGACGGTGCCCTCGATGGATATCTAGCAAGGTGAAACGATTTGCTGAATGTCATATACCCAAAAGGATCTTTTCTTGACCCTAACGATTGATGATTTCCTAATTCGATCAGCAGTCTCCTTGACGTCTATGACATTAAATTAGTCACATCATCTTTTCAAGGTTCGCTATTCCGGTCCTATATTTGTTATAACTGTGAAACTACTGCCTCTTCACCTGGTAAGAGAAAGTTTTCTTATAAATAAAGAGACTTACCCAAAATATTCAACTTTCCCTTTCCGCTTTCGAACTGTGCAAAAAATTAGATTTCAAGTTAATTCCTTTAAGCTTTCTCAAAATGTGTAGATTAGCTGTCTCCTTCACTTCTCGATTCATACAACTTATAAACAAATGGGAATTTTTATCTTTCTCTCCTTTTGTCCCACTTATTAAGAGATTCGCTTCTCCGGGGCATTTGCTAAGGGGGACAGATATTCTATGCCCCCTGTATGGTTTGACTGAACGGGAGTATACTGTTTCTTGATTCTAGTTCTGACTCCCGAAGGTTAGAGGACTGTGAAAGTAACTGGCCTACATTTGAATCACGAAACAAAGATCCAACGAAGGTTGAAAATACAACAATTTATATTTTATCACAAACGTAATGAAGCTCCTTTTACTACGAGTGTCTTAGTTATCTTCTGCTAAAATTGCTACAGCAAGACTTGATTTTCCCTAAAGACATAGATTTAGAAGCGATTGCCTTTATTAAACATCTTAGATTACTTTGACAATGTCTTACTTGACCCGCTGATGAACAGACCGCTATACGAAAGAGTTTCAAAACACTATTCTCGTCATATAGCAGCCGTTAACTTTTTATTGATTGAGTAGTTTTGCAGAAAGCAATTTTGTTTGCATCATGTTGGAGAATTTGGTTCATTGATTCAATTCAAGCCTTGTCGATAAAATCCAGCAATTTAGTATTTTTTACGACCTCAAATCACCTCATTTTATTAACCATTTGTCTGTTTAGTAACACAATCTTGCAATCGCCATTGGTTTTCAAAGCACAAAGGTAGGTCATAGTTGACAACCTCCACGACCGTTACTTTTGTCTGGCAAATTCTCTCGTCTATTTCGCTGGAAATCAAACGAAAAGAAAGCAAAGCTTGTTTTGGTACAAGGCAAGGTTTTAATCTGATCGCTATAAACAAAAAATGGTTGTTTTTCGGTAGCCTTTCCTTAACTTCCTATAACTGAATTAGGATATGACGTTTTCTGACTTTAGTCGTAAAGTCTGCGATCTATAAATTTGATTGTTCTGCAACAGTCAACAAATGAGATAGAGATAAGTGGAGCAGAGACATTGAAAGCTAAATTTTGTTAGATCTGTTATTACAGTGACCCTAAAACCGATGGCAAGAGGTCTCTCCTCACATCTATTGCCACAGCAACTTTTTCCTTGCAGTTTGCTGCCCCCTTATTGAGAGATGCTCCTTTTTATCTGTGCCCCTAGTTTTTGCTACTTTTCATCATTAAACATTGGCTGATAAAAGCTACATCTAGTAGGGAGCAAAGCATTCTCTAGCTTTTGGAATCAAGGGTAGTCTCCAGATCCCATCGGCTGAGAAATTGAGTGAGCCATATTTACTTGAAAGCACTCTTAGATGGTAAAAAAGCACCTCGTATTTTGAAGGTAATTTCCTATCCAGAGTCATTTCACACCCTCGTGCCCCATAGCGATGGGCAAGGATGTAGGTGGCTAGCTGATGCATATAGGAAACCGTAGTAAAAACAGTGTGGGAGAAACTTCCCATCCTTAAGACATAGGTTCCCTCGCTTTCATAAAGTTATCAAATTGCATAATAAGATCCCTTGTCGCCATTCCTGCATTGTGGCATTGTGTCATTTAATAGTGTATATCCAGTAGCGTAGCGAGGGGGAGGCAAGAGGTGGTGGCAAGAGGGGGAGGCAAGAGAGGGAGGCAAGACGCCCCCTCCAAATGACAAATGTTTCTTTGAAAAAGGGCATTAATGTTCAGTAGAGCGTGGACCCCCAATTTTTTCTTGCTCAATTCGCCTTTGCCACCCCCCTCCAATCTTACCACTCTGGCTCCGTTATTGGGTTTATTTTTTCACTGATTTACTCTCTTAGTCTAGTTATTTATCCAAACAGGTTATCAGCAGTTGAATTTCTTAGAGGGGGTGCAGTTGGCAGAGGACAGGATAATTAGGCAAACATCCGTCCTCGTTTTAGACATTGAAAGTTTGTAAATTCAATTTAGAAACAATTTTTGGATGTACAAATATTGAAAATGGCTTTGAAACAAGCAAAAATGATGAATCGCGCATAAGCTTTTCGTCTGACACCCTTCAGAGTACAAAACGTCGGATGATCGAAAATTCCAAGCTAGGATGTCTACATATACCTCCTGTTCCAATTTTATGTGAATGATTGTGTTGTTATTAAATATATTGCCGTTTATGTTGTAACTACCACTGTTCGCTGAGTCAGCGTGAGTCAGCGTGAGTTTTGCCAATATTAACCTAGTTGGTTAGAAAGCAACGACCTAGCTGGGTAAATTTTATGTGGGTAAATGTTTCTTAATTGAGATGCTGAAAAAAGTTAAGGCGGGGTTGTGCCTGACTGCATGCAAGCTTGCTACGAGCAATGAACAGAGTTGGTGGCTTTGTCTTTAAAATATCTTAAATAATATAATTATTTTTGTTTAATAAACCAGCGAAGTTATTACGTTGCAATTACTGTAGAAGCGAACTTCTCTTTTAGAACATAATTTTAAGAAAAAATCATGCCACAACTTGTTAAAGCGTTTGCGACGCGATTAACCACGGTTATAATACGGACCAACCATAGCTAATCGTTTTATCGCAATTTTTAAGATCTCTTATCATCGGACGAACCACCAAAGAAGATTAAGGTGCACCATACCAGTTACATTGACCTTGTCGAATTACACGTGCAGTTAGAATGATATCCACCTTATGCAGACTTTTAAGCCCTGGCAAAACGACTAAACATTTAGCTAAACATTTCACTTGTTTTTTGTTTAGTGAAGTTGAGCCAAGTTTAGCAAGGCTGGCAAAAGGTGACTAAACTTTCATTAAACTGCACTCAACTTTTTTGAACTGCGAGCTGTCTATGGCGCTGTTGGGTTGTTGGGGATCTTGCATAGGAGTTTGATTTTAATTTGTTTTGTTGCATGCACAAGCAGTGGATAAAAATAAGAATTGGATGAGGCGACGGGGAAAGAAAAGACTTTTTAGCACAATGACAACAAAGTTGGCTGTTGAGGAAGACACAGTAGCGTACAACAAGATATGCAGATGTCTCATAAAGGCTTTTGGGTCACGTAGAGACAGGAAAACCTATGAAAACAGACGAAAACCTTTGGATTTCCACAGCTAGTGCGCTTGCGCGATCACAGCAAATGTTTAATTGGTGGCCAAACGACTAAACATTTGCTAAACAACACTAAACAACGCTAAACATTTTTGGCCAGGATCAAACTTTGCTCAACACTCAACACGACTAAACAACACTAAACAGGGTGGCAAAACGACTAAAATTTTCACTAAACTTTTGAATAAACAAAAGTTGAGTGAAATGTTGCCAGGGCTTTGAAGATGGTATGGTTGGCCTCGTCCAAGACCTCAGCTTTCATGTTTCCTTATAGAGAACGATATGTACTGGATTATACCCTCAAGCATTATTTGCCTTTTATTGATCCTTTAAGACCGTCCCCTACGTCTATCACTTGTGTTTATCTTCTCATATATCACACATAATGCTGCATTAATCGCCATTGGTTTAAGAAGCATTGTTGTCAATCCGCGATCTTCTTAAACTCTGAAGGCGATTATTAGTAGAGGATTTTTATCGTGGTATTACCTCAACCAACGCAAGAATGCAAGCATATCGATTTTCAGAACTTGCTCAAATACAGCCGAGTCCTGATATAGTATCATTGGATTAGGATCCATATCATGGGGGTGGGTGCTTGCCCAGTACCCTGGCTACCAGAACCATATATTCAAGCGCAGAAATAGAAGGAAGGTAGAGGAGAAGCGCTCCTTTATCCCATTACTGCGATAAAGGAGCTTCTCGTTAAGTTTTAGTTCTCTTAAAATTAGTGCCCATTTGTTTCTCTGTTTGAAAGGGAACATGAAGTATGGCAATTATTAAGAGGGCTGTAGCTCTCTGATTCCACTGTCCAAACGTTGCTTGTTGTGCCTATAAGCGGGTTGCGCCTGTCAAAAGAGCCCCATTCAAGAGCTTCGTATCATTGGGTCTAACACTCTCTTGACTGTAACAAGCAGTGTGACTATGAATAAAGTGATAATAAGAGAAACTATCAAAAGCTTTGTTGTAAAATAATGCTCTTTCAATCATGTACAACTGTGAAATTTCTCAAGGCTGTACACATACAATAAATTTGTACCTGGTCAGGCGACTGAAGGCCTTCTTCCACAATGGTTGGTTTCCTATAAAATGCGATAATTAACTTTGTGAAACAAGATACACCAAAAAGAGAGTCTACGGAGGCCCTTTGAGCCTGATATTGGGACAATTGCCTTGGAACTCTGGACCTTTAGATGACTCTAGCACTCTATTTAGTACTAAAAGGTCATGTGCTACTGAGTGCCCGGCACACATTAGAACACGTTTCGGGCCTTCACACTTACTTCATTCGAACCTGCTGACGATCAGCTGTTGTAACCTAAAGAACCTGAAATCGTTATGCCACACAACTATTTCTCTGGATGCAAAGACCGCCTTGGCGAACTTATGAGAATGGATCAGCCTTTTGGTTGATATATACCTATTTTTAAACGTTTGAATACATGTCTAGAATCTTGGCAATAATGTGTTACACTGATTGAGAATATTATCTTTGGAATATAAGCTAAAGTTTCAGTGTGTGAATTGGGAACAGCGAATCTTCTTTCAAGCAGAATTTTTACCAACAGAGTTGTTTTTCTTTCTTAACATTTTTGGTGCGTCGTCTCTCATTTCACTAATATATTTTATCAACCTTTTCGCAAAGATTGTCCCAGCTTTAAGACATTTTAAAGCTACTATTTGCTCTGTAACAACCACACACAATTTAGCTTGACTGCATTATTTCAGTATTCAAAGGGTAAATCTACACTGTACACTGCAGTATGATGTGCAGCTTCACTTATTTTGATATGTATCCTTACAGCCTGGGCCAAGTTTAGAGCTTTTCGTTTGCATTAGCTATTTCAAAATGCTGAACTTTAAATTTCATCTTTTCTACATATCTCTTATTTGTTATTAAAAACAGACTTAGTATATCTGTTGTAAGGAGTTCTCCGTTGTTTAAAAATATTGTTCTTTAGAGTTAGAATTTGAAAAAGGTTGTGAAGGAAGTGAAAAAATCTGTGACAAAATTATTTTCACTGTCGACTAGAGGCCCATATTTTTTGAAAATATTTTGAAAATATGTTGAAAGTGTGCTTCATTGGAAGTTTCTTACTGTAAATTCTTGCTTATATTTTGAACAATCTTTTTATCAAATATTTATGTATTAAAGAATTGTATGTCTGTACAAATTTGAACCTTTAAGGATATCTTAGAAGAAAGACTATTTAGTAAGCAACGGAGCTGAGCAAATTAAGATAAGCACTTACTAGCAAAAAGAATATAGTTTTAATCAAGATTTGAGTTTAGAACAATATTTCATTCCTTTTTTAAAAAAGTTTTATTTTTCGTTGTCAAGTTTTATAGATAGGAGAAAGTAGAAACATACTGTTGAATTAAGATACACTGATAGATTTTTTCAATTTTCAAAAGGTATTTTCCATGGCTAAAATATTTTATGATTATCATACAAATCAAAAATGTCATTGTAGCATTCACAGAGAAATTGTTCTTGGATTTACTAGTTTCATGATACCAATAAATCATTTTTTTATTCATGATGAATCGGAGAAAAAAGTTTATCCGGCTTTATCTAAGTACACACTCACCTTGTAACAGAATAGACAAATACAATACAATTCTAGAAATTTGACCAATGGGGTCAAAAGGCTTTTGAAATTCTCAGAATTATAACTGGTTTTTCATTTCAATTGCCTGCAAAAATCTTCTAGTTGTAGACAGAGTGCAGAATAGATACACGACTCATGTCACCATAAAATAATCTATATCGCCAACTGAACATTTTATCTTTCAATGCGGTCCAGCCAGTAGACAGACGGTAGGCTCTTGTTACAGACAAAACCAGATTGTCACCTTGGCTGAGTATGACCTGGTCCAGTTTTATCGGCTAAATCTTTAAAAAAATAATGGTTTAGTTATTGAATTTTCATTTTGCAACAGAGAAGGAGACACGAAGAATAATCTTATTACAGTATTGCTTAGAGCAGGACGTTGTAGAGAAAAAACAGTGTTCTACACGTAAAATTATAGGAATCTTTTCTGTGCACCAATAAATTTTAGCAGTACACAATTTTTATGTAAAGAGCCTAGCTCAAGGTTTCGTTTCTTGAGTTCCTCTTCTGAGCACATTGTAAAATTTATTTTTCGCTTATTCTTATTTGCACAATTACTGTCATGAAAGTAGCACAAATGCAAAAAAATATTTCGGAATTTCGCTTAAAATTGTGGATAGAATTTAAGGCTTCTAAATGCAGGTTATTGCAACTCCTTGATTATCAAGAATGCTAAGATATTTTTTGCTCTGCTTTCGGGGATCGATCAAAAAATCGCCTTTATAACAAGAACAAAAATTGGTTAAAATAGCCTGAAGGCTGCATTTATTAGTATCTGATCCAAAGCCTTTCGTGACACTTCTGATGCTAACCTATCTTAGTATTTGAGTATTTGAGGATCTAAAGATAAACTGATGCATTGTACTCAGGATGATAAATGTAAGGTCGTGTGGTAATAGATTAAGGGTTGTTTATCCCAGATTATCCCAGATTAAAAGGCCTTGAAGTGACTTAGGGTGCAATGGGATTATCCACTTCGATTCTAAATATCCACGTTATATCTCCAATTTTATGAAGCTTAGTCTGAACAAGCCGTTATTGGCATGCCATACCTGGGAAAAGAATAATTCTTCAATTGATTTCTCGAATATTGATCCCATAATTTATTGTAACACGCCCCATCTTAGGTAATAATCCAGTGCTTTAAAGTATTTAGGACCTAATTCCACACCATTCAAGAGACTCGATTTACTTCTAGTCTCATTGTCCATATCACATTTGTTTGAAGGAAGAGGCATTTTTTGCCGATAAACGATCTCTTTATAAAGTACAGAAAAACTACATGCCAAAATGGTTTCACAAAAATACAGGTATCAGACAATTTGCTTCGCGGAAAAACTTAAAACTTGATTGGAAGAAAGTCCATAAATACTGCGAAATGGATATCGAGGCCAGTTTTTTGCCTTTTGACCCAAGATAGTCAATTGGTCATAATTTAGCCATTAAATAAAGTCTTATTTCGATCTTTCCCGTTTGAGAGGAGCAATTTGGAAGGAGTATTTTTGTGGTATATTATGATACAATGTAACATTCAAAGTTGCTTTAAAGAGTATTAAAAAATGCATCAGATTTCAATCAGTTCTAAAGCATTTTTTTCTGCTTTTAATGGAGTATATTAAGCTTTACTAATAGCAGGCTGAATGATCTTGATAAAGAGAAAATTCTTCTTCATTTGCTTATAGTGAACGCTGATAGCGTCCTTTCCTTGGCAAGGTGTTGCAATGAAGGAAAAAGGTCTGCAAAGCTTGTTAGTGGCCAGACGTCCTGCCTGAAGAAGCCAGTTGCTTTCTCTCAACCATCCAAGCTGTGCTTGTCCATGTACAAAGTCTGTTGTTTGGCCAAGGAAAGGGATCAAGAATGTATCAACGGAGAGAATCTTTCAAGGTTTGTTCTGACATTCATTCATGCTAAGAAAGTTAATTCAACTCTATGTAGTTAATAATAGACAATTTTTTGTACATTCTAAAAAGTTACATAAAAAGTTACTGTAATACCTTAACTACACGCTACGTTACATACAAAGACGATACCCCGGGGAGCATCAATTCTGTCTACCCCGGGCACGTTTGTAATAACAAATACAATATACAATTACAGGCACGCCGGAGCCGAGGGGCTGGGGGGAACTTTAGCTCCCTTACCTTTTTGCCAAACTATGAAACTCGGGTAGTGGTATCAAGTTTATTGGGGAAAAACCACCTTGAAGTTTGACAATTGGTCTAGCGCCTCCCGCCCCCATTCTAAAATGCACTACGGCGTTCCTGCATTACGACTGAGAAACTTCACAAGAAAAGAATTCACTAGCATTTTCATCTGAATAACTGTTTATACCTGACGTCTTTGTTTGCTTTTAGAGCCACTTTGAGAAGCGAGTTCTCCTGCACAAAATTTGCTCATAAGAACACCCTGCATGGCTCTTCTTTCCTGGAATGTTGTGAATGTTGTCAATTGGGTAAGATTGCAGCCAATAAGAACAAAACGTGCAGCAACGACGACATACCTTTCAATGGAACCTGTGGAGGAATCTACAAACGGTGCTGCAAAGTTACTCGCAAAGGTAACTGTTTTACTGATAAAGGGCCATCGAAAGCTTGACTATCTATGACTAACCCCCAAGCCCCAATCCCCGAACCCCCTCCTCCCTCACTATGAATTTCGCCACCTTGCACCAAAGGCTCTGAACTGAATCACTTTGCAGCAAGATGAGATTAGGAGAAGTTGCATACATTATCATAATTCATTAGATCTGTAATTCATGAAGCATTCCTAATTCTCCATAGATATAGAGAATTCCGGACCTACACTTTGTAAATATGCCAAGTGTCAGCAAGAATGTCTCCAGACAAAGTCAGGTCCGATCTGCTCGTGTCGCAAAGGATTCCGACTTGCTAACGATTCTAAATCATGCCAAGGTAGGTCCCACTAGTTTGTTTTGAAATTATGAGAAAATGAATAGAAATACAGAAAACTTTTTCAGAATTTGATAAACAGTGGTGTGCTGTTAACTTCTGTGAGTAAAATATTCAGGTTAACGTGGGTGACCATAGGTAGGGAGGATCTCAAGAGCTTTCAGGTAAGATTAACTCAAGTTTGGTAGAAAGATCCACCCAGTGGGCACACTGAACCAGTAATATGCCACCCACACATTTTCTTTCAATTAGTAAGCAAATTTTTTCCTCAATATCGCCTTTCACTTTCAAGTTCAAAGCTAGACATTTAAATAAGATTCGAATCTAGGCTACAAAAGGTAATCGAGGATAGAACAAGGTGATCTGTAGAACAAGAGTGATTTTTTTGGTTTTCGAGAAAAATTCATTTGTTACGAAAAATCTACCTGAAAACTCTACCGGTCTTCTGAACACTAACCCAAATCTCCTGTCTTCCATAAATTTTTCCCAAATTAAATCTTTTATTTTGTTTCAATAATATTTGTTTTTCTCTTTTGTTGAACAGTCTTGTGTTACTTTCTCTCAAGTAAAAAGCCCTGCATGCCTATGTATTTCTCTAACCGTATCACTTTGATATACCAAAGCCCTCGATAACGAATTAACACAATTCAGCTGCCAGGGTTTATTACAAATTGTCTGATTTTTCATTGATTTATGAACCTTACAAGCGTTTCTATGTAAACTGAAATGGATCACCTCATTAAGAGGAAAATTTAAAACCACGATAGAAGGAAATTTTTGCGCTGGTTTCACTTTCATACAAATCTTGTTATTTGCCTCGAGGAACTTTGCACAACATTCATTCCATTTTCTTGATCTGTGTGTGTACAGCACTCCTTCGAAAACGCTTTTTCCGAAGTTTCAATGGTTTTTCTTGGTCTGATGTCCCTCTCCAGCGTGATCATATAGAGACAACTACACCCATTCAAGGATTTCAGCTACGGAAGAGCAACTCAAGCCCTAGATTAATGGATCTCGTACCATGGGTGCCATAACGCTTATATCTCTCCCCCTCCCGTCCCAATGCTGGTCGTCCTGGTTATTTCTTCATGCCAAATTGTTTACCTCGTATAAGCATCATCTCAGTTCTAATTTCCTTACTCATTTCTAAAAGTAACAATACCTTGTATCTTTATCATGTATTGTATTCTCGCATTTATTATAGCGATGCTATTTGTATTTGTTGCTACCTAGCATCCGAAGGTAGTTTTTAGGACACTGAGAAGCTATGCTTAACGAACAGTGTCCTGGTCCTTCCTCTCGATGTGACCACACCTCGTGATTCCTACGCCTGGAATTACAGAGAGCTGGCTCTCCCCACTCTGGGTGAAAGTTTGGTCATGCCAGGGACTCGAAACCGGACCCTTGGGTCTGTAGTCAGCGCCTCTAACAACTGAGCCATCTACTCGTTGGCTTCATCTACTCGTTGGCTACTCTAACACACTTTTCAATCATGAGTCTTGTAAAGTTATTTAATTTGATGAGGGCAGACTTGTTCTTTCAACAAATCATTTTCAAATTCACCACATGATAATAAATTGGCATTAAATCCTTAGTTCAAAAACATTTTTCCTATGAACATGTTTACGTGGCTCATGATGTCGAATGTCATATTATTCATATTTCCTTGCATCACAGATATCGACGAATGCAAGAAAGGAACACACCAATGTATCTCTGGTTGGGAATGCAAAAATCTTATCGGCGCTTACAGATGTCTTCGCAATTTTGTTAGCAGCAGAAAATGTCGACGAGGATATAGAATTGAAAACGGCATCTGTAGAGGTATGAATGACAGTATAAATATTGTTTTAATTATGCAAGGTTTTTCTATAGAAATTTTTTACAGCGAATTTCCTACTGCATCTTAAAGTGAAAAAAGATTAGTAAGAGGTATGTTATTTTAACAAAATGAACTCATGTTGATTTGACCTTGCGACTGTTTGGAGTACTTTGGTCATTGAGTAAAGCCAAAAGCAACATACAACTTGACCTTAATCAAAATATAAGTGCAATTTTGTCATTTTGACCAAATCTCCTCATTTTTTGCTGGTTGTCTTTTGTGACATTCTTAACCGCATATTAAAGCAGTTAGAAGTGAATGATTGATAAATTAAACTTTGATTTGCAATCATTCTTAGATATCGACGAATGCACATCAGGAATTGCAAAATGCGCAAAAGGCACTGTTTGTGAGAATGTCCTCGGGGGACATCTATGTACCCAGAAACTGGTTGGTCAAAAATGTGCCCGTGGATATTATATATCTGGAGCACGTTGCATTGGTAAGATTTGTTCTCGTTGTAACAGACTAAAGGGATTCAATTTTGATAATTCAAGATGTGATTATAAGATAAATTTTTCTTTTCTGTGAAGCAAACAAACATTAAACCTCACTATGACCTTGTGATTGATTCAACGCAGATTGATAAAAATTATACCTAGAAATGTTTAACAAACGATTGCAGCTTATTAACAACTCTTTTTCAGATGTAAACGAATGTAAAATGCCAAAACTTTGTGGCAAAGGACAACGCTGTGTCAATACCTATGGCTCATATCATTGTGCCTCTGCTATTAAAAACTGTCGAAAAGGATACCAGTGGAGTAATTCTTCAATGGCATGTCTCGGTATGTGTATGATTGAGACAATATGAGGCATTTTTATCTAAATGCTACCAAATCTTTCTACCCAGATAACTATGCTACTTTCATATTTGATACACATTTTTAGCTTAAATCAAAACACAGACACAGATAGTTCCATCAAGGCTCAAACAATAATATAAGCAAACGTTAGCAAGAACACAATTTTGAATTTTATATATCTTTATCATAATATGAACATAATTTTGCAGCAACCCTACTTTGAATAGATAATTTAAAAAACATTTCTAATTTACTTTGCATTATTAATAAGAATCTTTTCTACTATGTTTTGGCCACCAGATGAAAATGAATGTGTTACTGGCTCCCACAATTGCCAAAGTGAAGGAGAGTCTTGCAGAAATACCCATGGCTCGTATAGGTGCTTTTGTTCCAGAGGCTTCTTCAGAACGAACGGCAAATGTGAAGGTACGTGTCACTAATGATTTTTTTATCTGCATTCGTGTTTGCTACTACCTAGCTTCTGAAGATATATATAAGTTAAGAAAATTAACATAATTAACCTACATAATTTAAGACATATCAATGTTTTCACCTGACAGTCTTTAAAGTACAATTTTCAATTCGGAAAATTATCAACCAATGTTCTGACGTTTTATACTCTGAAGAGTATCAGACAAAACCTTTAATATTTTTCAAAATGTTTGCTTTTTCAGAGTAATGTATGCTTTAATTGCTAGAGCTTCCTAACAAGAATTGCAATTAATAAATATCAAGAGATATTAAACTGCACGACATGTTTGACAATATTGTCGCCGCGGTTGAAAATTCCTTCTTCAGGGCTGCTTAATTGTCAACACAATCTGATTTTAAGTATAATTCTGAACGATTCCATTGAAAAATCAAATAATGAAAAAAAATGCAACTATCTTAAAAATTCTGGTCAGCAGTGTTCGTGTGCAATGCTTATCATTAGATGTTTGTTAATGCTTGCTAATGTTTACCAATGTCTGCTAATGTTTACTAATGTTTGTTAATGTTTACCAATATTTGCTAATGTTTACCAATGTTTGCTATAGATCGTGATGAGTGCACTTTATACAAAGGACGACTCTGCAATCACAAATGTACAAATCTGCCTGGATCATACAGATGTGACTGCCTTTCTGGTTTTGAATTAGCAAGGAACAAAAGAACCTGTCTAGGTACGAGTCTTTTAAGAGAATCGGGATAATATTTTTACAATTCGCCAAATGAAAGGAACGTTGCAAAATAATAAACAAAATTATCGGTATATTGTATCTTATACTATAAATGCGTTGATCCAACTCACCTTAAATTGAGAAAAGTAACTGAGCTTGCGACAATACACTTCTTACAAGGAATAGCTTATTTTTTCATTCCGGGCTATATTTACTTCTTAAACTTCAAAAATATTTTTATGATTAATTGTAAGTTAAAGAACTGTAAAAGGATAAATGCGATCACCAAAAAGCATAGTAAAGCAAATCAAAGCATACCAAAAGATGATGCAGTAATTTATCAACCAATGCCGGAATGAATTTTGTACCTGTTTTGTGTCATCGAAGAAGATAGGGTGTACAAGATCACCAGGTTTTCTTAAAAGCCACGAGAGTTGAGACAGTGATTAAGTAGTTATATAACTAAGATTACCTTAGGGATATACGTGTTTTTTTACCCAGTCACTCGGTTGAAAATTCTGTAGTTGTTATAGTCATGAATTTACAGGCCATTCTGCTTACAACTAGCTTTTTCATTCAGATATAAACGAATGCAGCAAAGACAATGTGTGTGCTACTGGTGAAAGCTGCTTCAACATGCCAGGGACATACAAATGCATACAAACAGGATGCCCGCGCAACTATTTGCAGAAAACCTCGAGGTTGGCTTGGTTATCTTCTGCTTTGAATCGCAGTCTCAGTTTTTCACGAATGTTTGCGAGATTTTCTACATTTGCTATAAAATCAACGAACGTTACAGATAATCGTCAAGCCTACACTCGAATTGTGATTGTTATTACTTAGTGTGCATCCTTTTAGACACAGAGGACCTATGCTTATCGAAAAGTGTCGTTGTTTTTCTCTCCATGTGGCCATTACTAATGATTCCTATGCCAGGAATTTTAGAGGGCTGGTGACTCCCCTCACTCTTTGTCAATGTTTGGTCACGTCAGGTACTCGAAGCACAGACTCGTGGAACTGTAGCCGCGACGGTGACCGTTGAGCCATCTTCACACCTAGAGCCCAACCTTTCATTCCTTCTAGATAATGCTGCAAACTGCAACATAGAAGTTAGCTTTAAAACCTTTTAAAGGATCTCCTCGTTTAAAGGAGTCTTTGAAGCTACGATCTGTGTAGTCTCAAAATATTTGAAACCTTGTTTCTCTATTTGTCGGAGTTTCAATGGGATTTACAATATTTTTGGCGGCAGAGGCCAGAAAAGGCTCTTATCTCCAGCTAAAACCAATCACTCATTGGAAGAAAAACTACGCTTCTGTCAAATACCAGGAATTATCGCTGGATCTTTCTAAGGTCAAAGTTATTTATAATTTCCTAGGTCATAATTGCAGGCTCGTTTCTGAGCAGTCTAATTGAAAGCCAACATTATGTAGTTCTTGATAATTAAAACTTTAACAAGACTGTTTTATTGGATTTTAGGAGTTGCAAGCTTGAATGCCCCCTTGGCCTGGACTGCAGTGCAATGCCAGTTTCTATTAAGTGGTTTACTGTCTCAAGACGAGGCCCCGTAAGACAATTTGGATTCAGGCTCATCTATGATGTTGATGTAAGCACAATATTTGACGTGAGAAGAGTTGAGTTCAAGTTTACAAAAGGTCAGTTAATCTTTTAAGATGTACCTGGAGAGCCTCTTAAGTTGTACATGGTTTTTAAGTCATAGGAAATCTTTTCCATGAGATGCGCTAAGCGTACATTGATGTATGGTCTCATCAAGATTAAACTGAATTTTTTGAGCAAAGAGAAACTTTGTTGGACCAGGTCATTTTGCCAAAATTTGTTCTTTTCACAGAGGATCAGTTAATTCTCGTTGGAGTGTCTCTTAAACTTGATCTAGAGCAAATAATGCGATATACGTTGATATTAAAGTCAATGTTACTCTCCCAATAAAGAAAGCACAAAAAAGGCCATCTTTGAGCCAATATGTTGCAAATACCACCCCAACTTAAAGAGTTTAGGTAGGCTCCTTATGTCCTTATGTTTTTGTTTGTTGACTATGGTATTTTTCTAAAAACGTCTTTCTAATTCATAAAGATATCTTTCTTTTTTTAAAGTTTGCTCTACCTTTTTTACAGGAAACGAAAAGTCTTTGTTTGGTCTGCAAAAGTACGGATTTTCAAAAGTAATCATATATAACAAGGTTCCTCTTGACACAACGAAGTACTATCATTTGAAAGTTATCGGAACTGCAGTTCAAGGCTTAGGACGCCGAATTTCATTTGAATACAATCTCCACTCTTTTATATATGTGCTCAATTAATTAAATAAAGTACCGAGAGCATACAATCAGCAAAGAAGGAACTTTTAAAAGCACTCATAGCTTTGTTTGTATTGAAGCAGAGATGAATTGCGACACTTGCTGGAGGCTTGAAGATTCTTGTAAGAAATTTGCCCCATCTTCTATTTGTAAATATCTAACATCGCATCACGTATGACAGTAGTTTGACTGATCAGTTCACGCCGAAGGATTGCCTCTACGATTGAAACCTTTCTTGGATGAACAATGTTCCGGAATTTTTACATTGAACTTCATTTATATGTTGTATAAATGTCAAAACGGATTTTCTAATGCCGGTTTTAATTTCAGACGCTTTTCTTAAATATATATATCATGTTTTTCTTTTTGTAGACCTTTCAGTTTCCGTTTTAGTTAAGTTATTGGTTCACATGATGTTTTCTTTAAATAATGAGTTCTATCAGTTTAATTTTGTTGCCTTGTAACTAACTTCAAAACTATATTTATCAATCACATTTTATATAACGGACCTTGTGATAATGTACGCTTTTCACATTTTAAGAAATATGGATTAGTGTTTGTGTATAACGTAACTGTTTTTACAAGTTAACATATTTTGACTTCAACTGAAACTCCAGTTAGATGAGGTATAGAAAATATGTGTTTTTCTTGTTTTATTCTTGTCGAGTTTCAGCAACTCAAACTCTTCTTCCTTTAGACGAGAAGGATACTCAATTAATATCTAACACAAGAAGTGCACTAAATAAAGCGGAACATATCCAATGGCTTCACCATAGACAGGATTAGAAACTGGCAGAAAAAGGGTTCCAAGTTTCGAAATTTTTATTCTGCCTAAAACCCTGAACATAATAGGTAGATATAAGTTGAACTTTTCATTAAAGATTGACATTAGTAAAGATATACTTCTAAACATGATAATGGCATTGACTTCAACTTTAGTTTTTAAAGCTTCACAAATTGAGCCGATTAAAAGAAATCGTAAACAAAACATGGAGCAAAATACACTAGATACGAAAACTGTGTTGCATGAAATCATAAATTATCAAATTTCAAATATGCATAAGCTGAGAAGAAAGGCAAAGCGATTGAAAGATATTGCATTAATTGAATGCTGGTTGCATACAAAAAGAAAAATGAACTTCAACTTTTTGCTGCAACATTTTGTGCTACTTCAACATAGAATGGAGTGGGTGCCATCTGATATACGTTGAGATTTGCATGAGGAGTACAAGCCAGTATTCACAAAGACAGAATATAAACAACAATTATATTACGAAGAAAAGATTGACCAAAGTTGCTGTCTTTGGCAGCAGGGGAATTTTCGTAGGGCAGTATCCCTCCTAAGGGAGTGTCTGATCTAGGGCGTTGTCCATCAAGGGCATCAAGGGCAGTGTCTGTTTTTAGAGATAATTTTTATGAGGCTTTGAATCGCATGAATGAAACGTTTGTGCAAAATTACTTGTCTCTTCGCTTGTGCCTTTAGTGAATGGAGCCAGGGTTGCCAGGTTCGGGATTTTATCCCGAGATCTCGGGAATATTCAGAGCTGTTGGGATTTTTCTCGGGAATTTTTTTCGGTGAAAAAATCTCGGGAAAATTCTCGGGATTTTTAGAGAATGGATTAGAAAAGTTTTTCAGAATAGATTTGTTAGTAACAAAGCATTCATACGAGAATAAGAGCGGCACATTTCATCCACACTTTGCTAGTGGCAAGCCCCACTACAGACACATTAGTCCGTGTGGATAGCAGTCTTCAATGGAGAGGTGAAGATTGCTATAATTTCAAAGTCACCCATGCTATGAAAAGGAAATTCATCACAGAAAGAATTTATAGAGTCAATGCAGACGATGACTTTGTTCTTGGTGATGGACTTCTCGAATAGAAACTGCTAAAATACCCTAAAAATATCGAACTTTATTCAGTTACATTGTTATGTTATTTAATAAATTTTATCTTTTATCTTCAGTGTCATCAGTTTACTTAGGATTGACAGCTATTTTCGTCTAAAATGGTCTCCTTTTGTTTCTTGTCACGCAACTGAAATAAAAATGTCAAGAAAAATTTTAACTCCTTTGTCAATGCTTTGGTCCGTACAATTACAATGTTGCACAAGATAGAGAAGTTGAAAAGTCGTTGCACAGAGGTCAAAATTTTGTCCCTGTGGTAAATGACGTCATCAGAACATCACAAAAAAAATCTCGGGATTTTTTGAGAAAATCTATTGCATTCTGGGATTTTTTATGTCTTGATGCGGGATTTTTATAGATTTCAATCTGGCAACCCTGAATGGAGCTTATACGATGGAACCCACGTCTTTAGAAGGAAATCAATGACGACATGAGGTCACTCGCATTAAAAAAACGAGACAAGATCGAATAAGAGGTTGTAATGAAGCTGCACCGATATTACCTGCGTTTATTCGCCTACTGGTTTGATCGGTTTCATGATAAGCACGAGCCCACAAAAATGCATTCTCAAAAAAGAGAAACAAAAAGTTAGTCAGTACTGATTTAATTACACTATTTACATCTTAAAAACTAAGCATCATTCCCTTCAGGACGCGAAGTCAAATTTTCTGTTTCTTGTTCCACCTTGATATCCGCTCTTGAATCTCTCCAAGACATAATTTGTTTGACTGCAGGTCGCTCGTTTGACACGATGAACCGGGCAAGATTTTCAAAAACCGCATTCGCAGAAACGACACCGGATGCCGTGCGAAATTCTTCGATAACATCCAATGTGTTGGTTTCCTTTGATGTCTTGAATGCCTGGCTGCAGTAGTCCGTGGCAGACGTGTATTGGCCCTACAATGCACAACTTTGTCTTAACTTGGGGGTCTAGTTGTTTGGGAGATCAGTGAGCAAACATCTGGAAATGTGCAGGCAACCCCCCGTTATGGGGTCAAGTAGCATGCATAGTTACGATAAGTTCCATGCGCATGTACATTGACGCCAAGTTAGTCAAGAGCTTGGACATCGCTGATATTAACTGGCATATCATTCCAAGCTTTTAAGGAATAGTAGTAAATCGTTTTTTGGCATGTCCCTTCCTTGCATCATAATTTGAGATCCTCACGATGCTTAATGTTAATAATTTTATATTGCACTTATTAGCGATAAATTCAATGTGCATGCGCATGCTCATTTATTCAAAGACGGCCTAGTGTTTGGATTTCTCTAATATTAATTGGGGTATCGTTCCAACCTCTAAGGCAGAGTTGTAAAATCGTTTTTTACCATGTCCTGTAAAAGTCTAGAGATCTAGACATTCTTACGATATCTTGCACAGGGGTGTAGAGCTAGGGGGCTTAGGGGGGCTGAACCCTCCTTGTTAATGCCAAAATTTGGCAAATTTCTACTTTTGCTATTGTTTTTTGTAACATTTTGCGCAAGAGCCCCCCTTGTTATTTTGATAGCACTACACCATTGATCTTGCATCGCATTTGGAGATCCTTTCTTTAAAAAATTCAACAATGCACGTATTCAACATTTATCTCTCTTTCTCTCATGAAACCGCTAAAATAAGCTTACCAAGGAGTTATGAAGAGCTGCCAGCTGACTACACGCAGCACCTTCTGCCTCTTTCTGGCCTGATCTTTTTGCTATGTCCAAGTACATAGTCAGATATTCAATTGCATTGTTTACGTCACCTTGACTGCCAAAGCAATTTAATAAACTTAGTTAAATAAACTAAAGTTAAATTCAAATTTATACTACTTCAATTATATTAAAAGGGCTACTAAATTTACATAAAAGTTAACGTTGGCTGGTACAGCGAACATGTATCATTGAAATGGCATAACAATATCATCTTTCTAGCACATTTCACAGGCATTTAAACTTTGTAATAGTAAGAAAAAATGGCAGCAATTTACTGTTTTACCGAAAACGCATTTTAAGTCAACATAGCCGGGTTTAAAACGTTTTATCAGGACCAAAGGTTTGATTTAGCAGAATGGTGACAAACTTTTTACAAAAATTTGACTGTTAAAATACACTGACAGGTCAATGCTTTCCAATTAAATTTACGTTCTACCAATGTGCCCATTTCCTCTTATATTTGCTAAAGACTTACAAACCTTGCTTATTCAGAAAAAATACAGTTTTGATGAAGCAAAAAAAAGGCTCCGTCAATTTTGTATTTTGGTTAAACTTGTCTTATCAATTGAGTCTTTCTTGCTACGGAACTCCACTCATCAACTTAAATTTTTAGGTAGATAAGTTTTCAAAACAGTTGCAGATTGATCACATAAGAAATATTGAAAAGAACCTCTCAGGAAAATTACCCTTTTCGGGGGTAAATATGAAATAGTTGCAGTTTGAATTAAACAGAATAGCCTGCGCATTGCGAGAACGGGTGTTCTAACTTCATCTATAGTCGTTCATGCGACATCTTGGTAATGAGAAACGATTTAGAAAATAGGGGTGAGAAAAAAGTAAACATTCAAAAACATACTGAAGATTTTGGTCTCACATTCTTAAGACTAGGAAACGTCAGGATAATTATTGAATGCTAGGAAATATATATACCCAGTTAGGGATCGAGAAAGGCCAATCAGTAATGCGGGTATGTGACTATTAAAGTTGCCTAGTTAGTGCGGCTTTTAAAAAGAAAATAATTTGAAACATCTATTCACGAAATAATCGAAAATGGGGATATTCAGTTAATATTAAGAAAATGGTTGAATGTTGTGTAAGGAACACCGAAACGCACAGAGAAAGAACAAACAACGGGCACAAATGAGGGAAAGATAGCTGATATTTTGACGGCAAACTTGGCCTCATCAGAGTGAAAGTTGAGGAAATGCCGTAGCTATTATTTGGTGACAGGATGGGAGAACTCAGGACAGATTTTGGTTCGAAATATGGGAGAACACGGGACAGATTTTGGTTCGAATTATGGGAGAACTCAGGACAGATTTTGGTTCGAAATATGGGAGAACACGGGACAGATTTTGGTTCGATTTAGGTAACGAAAATGTCATCCATGGTTACCCGCTTTGTTGGCAAAATGGTTAGTCAGACCTGCCTGAGTATAGACCTTGCTATAGACCTTGTTGCAAAATAGAGTATAGACCTTCTCAAGACGAAATCAAAAACGAGATAATTTGAAAAGAAAAGGAAATCATCCTTACGAGTGATGGGCATTCGCTAATGCTTGACAGGCCTTTGCTTTGCCAATGTCGTCACGAAGGACATTGCATATTTCCAAGTAGTCAGCGAAATACTGAAAAATGGGTGGGAAACAGTGAGAAATAGCATTTAATATCAAATGGGGAAGCTTGCTTTAAAATTGTAGGCATTTTTTTAAAATAGATACCAATGGGTCATTAATTGATTCACAGTTCAGGATCATTGGATGTAAAATACATTCAGTAATGAAAGTTTTGGGGTAGTGTAGAGGACTATAACCTATGCAAAATGCATAAAGAATCTGTGAAAGATGTATAAAATGTGATCAGTGGTATCCAGTGGCATAGCCAGGGTTGGAAGAATGGAGTGGCAAAGAGAAGCCTAACCCAATGGGGTCCTTGAACCATTTTGTTGACCACCCCACTTAAGAATTTGGAAAAACGCTTGGCTTGTTAAAGATGCTTGAAAAAGCTATTCCTTTTTCAAGTGATAATGGTTGGCTGATAAAACACAATAACAATCTTATATAGTTTGAATTTGTGGTACAACAGATAATTAACTTTTAGTTTTTTTCAGGCTGCTAAACTAGTGTGTGAGCTTATTGTAGTGTTCCTTAAAAACTGAGTGTAGCAGATTGACCCATTGCTGTAGATGCTTACATCAATCAATTAAATTTAGCAAGCTGATAGTAAATCAACAGTGACCAATCACCTTTATGGCCGAGTCAGAATCTCCATAATCTTCACAAGCTCTGCCAAGACGAAATTCTGCCTCTCCAATTTTCTTTTGATTGCCAGCTAGACAATATCAAACATAACAGGATGAATAGGGTAGGCTCAGTGTAGGCTCATTATAAGTGAAGGCTCAGAAACAGAGAGGATCTTTCTTTACTTAAAAAAGCAACAACATTCTGTTTGCCTATTTTCTATAAAACTGAATATTTTTTTGCAACACCAATAAAATACTGAAACAAAACAAAGCCATAGATAAAAACCTAGGTGACTGCAACTTGTTACAACATTTTGGCAGTTTACTTGAATCCAAATTTGTGCTAATGATAAGAGCAGCACATTCTAAGCAGAAGGCTTCCCTGCAAAAGCAGTAGAAACACCCAAGAGAATTATCGGTCTTCTGATAAGCCCAAACAAATATTGGCAAAGTTAACTACTGGCTTAAGTATTTGCTGTATCAAATCATATTGTTACCTCATGGTTGAGATAGCTACAGCCATGAAAATGAATATTGATATCCAAGAGATAAATCGTTTTATTCAGAAAATACCTTCTTGAGCCATTTCAAGAGCTTTCTGGAGATAGTCAATAGCTTGGTCAACATCTTCTTCCTCAATCTATGTTTAATAAATAACAAAAAGCTATAAACTTAATGTAGAAGTAAGCAACCAAAATGCACTACCAGCAGCTAAGAAAATATGAAGATTTAAAAACACACCTATCCCTAAAGTATTTCTTCCCTAAAACAATATATCTATCCAAATTGCTTCCTTGATATAGCTGAAAACCTTGAAACTGAATCCTAAAGACCGTTCTTGTTTCAAAGGATCTTTTCAATCTCTGCCAAATTCACTTTCTCTCTAGTGTGAAAATTTCTTAGTAAACAGTTGTGAAATTGCCTTGAAATAAAAGAAACACATAAAGTTGTAGAATGCATACCAATCGGCCTTGTAAGGAGCAAAAAGCAAGCACTTGATAAACACACTAAGTGCTCAATCAATCAGGCTCCTAGGACTTTCTAGGTGTGTGCAGAGGTGCTTGATCAAGCTCAAGCGCCTCTTCTTGCAAGGCCTAATACCACATAGTTCTGATAGCTTTATCTTACTTCATTTTTCAATGATATCATAGATCAACAAATTGATGCTGCTGGGTTATATTTCATACCTGTTCAGCAATTGAAGTATACATTCTCTGAAGGGCTTCGCATCCTTTCTGGTGAAGTTTCATACCAGTTTCATCTTCCCAATCCTTCCCTTTACTGATATTATAGGACGTCTCTGTAAAATGAACTGCCTGCATGAAGTCTGTTCTTTTTTCTGCAGTTACTCCCAAATTGTAGTTTGCTTCAGCTTCTTTTCGCCTTCCATCTCCTCTTATTTGTAGACTGGTTTCAAGACACTGATAATAAAAGTAATCTGAGAGCCAACCATCTGCTTTTGCACTGAAATATTCTGCCAATGTTAATTGCGACTGGTAAACATGATCTGATCTTCCTGTTATTAAAAAGAATTATACCAAAATTAGATCCAACATTTGAATAGTTTTTATACAGGTCTTTTTGTGAAGAAATGTTCACAAGGACCATAAACTGCATAGGTGGATTAGCTTCTGAGGATGATCACTTGTCCAAAAATATTTGTTAAAGAGAAGCTCTTCAAAGCATGAGGGGGTATTAGGGTATGAAAAAAAGCTATACAATGTGCTGTCAACTTGTGTCAATCTTTAAACAGAGCTCAATTCATCTCTGGGGACCAAAGTAAGTAAAATGAATGATACAGAACTAGTATAATAAAACAAAGGAAACAACAGTGAACTGAATTGTCAAAATCTCAGTAGACAGTTATAAACAGGATGTTTAGACAGAGTATTTCTTCATATTCAAAATATTTCTTTACTTATGATTTATTTGTATCTTTTATTTTTTGCATGGGATTTATATTTGATTGTGTCCTATTTCTTGTAATGCACTTTCCTCTAGCCCTTGCACCTTACTATCAACTCCAACAGTGTGAATTTGAGGTAACACATTGTAAGAAAGAGGATTTTCTGAAAATAATCACACAATTGCTACAATCATTTAGAAGTAATATGCAGCTCAGGAGACAAGTATTTTACCTGAAGGTTTGGGTATTCATCTAAAAAGAGTTTCCTTTGAATGGTTTATGGGTCTACCAGGATCAAATGATAGACTAGAAAGTCTTTTTTGACAAGGAAAGTGTTACACCAATTAATGTGTTCAGTTTTAGAAAACATTTTTGCATTAAGGACACCATTCTCCAAGCGAATCAAACAATAAAATCTGGTTGCACTAAGTTACATAAAAGGAAAATAACATGCTAATTACCTCTTCTTCTTGCTGACTCTGCAGCAATGAGGTTTTCTTTCAATGTGTCTAATTTTTCTGGTTCATCTTCTAGTAATACAACATTAACTTCACTGGCATCAAATTGCTCTTGGCTTAAGATCTCTTTTTGCCTATTCAGCAGCTCAAATAACTCACAGAATGCCTTGTGGAAGCCATCTTGAAGCATATCAAGACAAAGGTTGTGTTTATATGAATTTCGGTATCTGAAATAATAAACGGTGTCTTTTATAAAACATGCATGAATAATTAATTTTTAAATGCGACAATTAAAGTTCGTTGAACCGTGAGTGATGGTAAGAAATTGACGGTGATGAGTAGTTTGACGTTGAGAAAACTCAAACTCAACGGCTATCAAAAATGGCAGGTCAATGCAAAAAGCACTCGTCATATTAAGTCAATACTCTAGCAGAGTAGACCAATACCTCGCAGTATCGATAAAAGCATCTGGTTTTTCTTTAGCTGTCTCAGGCGTTGACGAAAAATCTTTACTATATCCAGAAAGGGTTTGCCTTCCTTGAGGGCCGTTAGGCGATACTCCTTGGCCTGAATGATTTCTTGTTTGTTTCTTTAAAGTCGACTTTGAAGGTGGCTGAGGGATATGTTTAATAACTTCTTGAGTTACTACGCCACCGACTTTCAGCGTCGGAAGAGTGGTTATCGACATATTGTGTCAATGATAATTCAGTTCGCAAGACTTTGACAATTTCGCTTTATCCGCCATTTCAGAATCACTGGTTGCGGGGAAACGAAAACATTGATTAGGGCCTCGTTCGCATAGTGACGCTGCGTGTGTGCAAATTTATGGTGTCACGAAAACAATTTTCAGAATTTTTCAATTTTGACCAGATAACCTGAAAGAACATCACGTAAATAAGCAAAATCAGTGTAATATGTTACGAATTAGCTGAGTATTGACCCTATGAGCACAGGCTTCCCCCCTCCATCAAATCCCTGTTATATGGCCTTGGCTCATACCAGGCCTGAATAGAGTTCTACAATGATGACATCACAATTATCTATTTTAAGAATTATTTAATTTGGATCCCATAACCTAAAAGAGCATCATGAAATACTTCTTCATGTGCAAAATCAGTTAATTGTGTTACGAATTGGCAGAGATATGTCAACATGTGTATTGACTCTCTCCCATCAAACCTCTGAATTTTGGTCCCTGTTCATAACTATATGAACAGAATATATGCCGTATCTGAACCAATTTTAGACATATTTGGCCAATTTTGCATATTTGTAAGTATCTCATGGTGATCTTTTATGTTAAATGGTCAAAATTCAAAAATTCTAAAAATAGGTTTTTGGTGACGTTACACTTTAGAACTCTATAACGGTAATCAGGTAGCAAACTTGAAATCTTTCATCGGAGGTATCTCATTGAACATACTGAACTGATTTTTCATATCCAGACGTATATAACATATTTTTCCAGTATTTTTCAAAATTAAGAGATTCCAAGAGTAGGTTTTTGATGATGAGATATTTGATACATTAAATATTTGAAAATAAAATTCTTTTTATTTCTTGGGGCATTCCCCTCGTCTCTATAGTGATTAGAAATATGGCTTCAAAGACAATAATCTGATGTCATACCGCAAAAAAAATTTTCCGACCTGTCAATAGTTATAGTCAGGGCTGTTAGTCCCAGACTTTGAGAGAGTTGTGCTGTACTAGGTCCCAAGCCCCAAATCATCTTTTCTACTACAACTAGCAGCTGCTAGTTACTGTGAGAATCCGAGCCATTGTCTTGTCTGGCAGAATTCCTCTCAGAACAAGTACCCGATCCGAGAACAAGTCTCAGATCTCTGCGATCTTAGTCATTTATTTATCAAAATTTAATGCATGATTAAATGAAATATTTTGTCCGGGACAGAAGCTGGGTAAAGCTTTTTTAAGTCTCTTTTACTTATGGAAAGTACTTAACTGCATTCAGCCCATCAAATTCTTTGCCATCAAATTTGTTCTCCAAAAAGTTTTGATACTATAAACGAAAACCTCGCTACAGATGGCAGATAAACTCTTCTCTCACTGATGTACAAATTGTCAGACACGTAAATACTGGGGGGATGTGTGTGGGGGTGTGACACCCCCTCAAGCTTTCATCCAGTTGGAAAATTTGAGGACAGTCGGAAAATTTAAAGCTGTTGGTAGAAAGCTAGGTTAATCGGAAAAAATTTGAATCATTTGTGAAAATTGAAGTTTTGACTCAAATGACCTTGTAAATATAGTTCAAAAGAAAATAATTGTTTGGCAGAAGGCAGTCCTAAAAAGAATGAGAGGTGAAGCAATACAGAGAAAACGAAGTTTTGTATGAGAATGTAAGTATTATCAACTACATTCATCGTAATGGGGAAAGTGTGATAATCATTCCATCAAATTGCTTCTAAAAACGGGATACGAAATATAATTTTTTAAATAATATCTAACCGTAATGCTTAAAGAAGCGCAGTACATTTCCCATGACTTGCCAAAAATTTTCTCTGTTCGTGATCGACCGATGAAACATTGGTGGCGCCAAGTGGAGAGCTGGGGGCTTTTCCCCCTACTTTTTTGCAAAAATGTATTTTTAAGCAAATGGAAAAGATAAAGGAAAAAATATAAAGAAAAGAATAATCCGACAAATCCTTTAGTTGCTTAATTTCCAAGGAATACGCCGAGGTCTATGAGGCCTCATAAAGTAATGAATTCAATTTTAAGACTGGAATTAATCAAACGTAATAAGGGCATGCCTTAAAAATAGCAAAATGTTTTAAACGAATGCAAGAAAATACCTGCAAGAAATATTCTGAAATGTATTTCAAGATTTTCTTGGTCGTGAAAATTTTCTGCTCGCTTCGCTCGCAGGGAAGCCACTTCTGTCGAGTGACCCTAAGGCCTCCGCCAACCTCCCGCCGGCCTCTTCAAACGTACCGCTAGCATAATGAGTACCCCATAAAACGATTAGGCATAGAATATCGTGAATCGTTTCAGTCTGTTTTCAAAATATAGTTCTTTAGTCTAATAATTCTATCAACTCGAGCCCTTCCCCCCTCCCCCACTTTGAATTTCCTGGCGACGCACCTGTGAAAGACTAAACCGACCTCATGATTCTTACTGTTGTGCACCAGATCGAACGAACCATTGTAGGGTATAATTTAAATATTTGGCAAACACTTTATTTCCGCTGTTAATTATCTAGGTTTCTTTTGGTTGTAGGTCTTACGTGTTTTTAGCTGATTGGTTGTTATTAATACTTGTAAAATGCTTGTATATATAAATACGCTGTAGTAGTTTTAAGAATTAGGCTTTTTGGGAGAAGCATCTTGCTGTTCGTTCAAAATGCTGACGAAAGAAGTCGTTGTCTCTCTGCTCCTTTCTGCCACAAGTCGAGTTGAAAAGGGCCGTGAGTTATTTTATATATACTTAGTTGCACTGTAGTTAAAGTGTAATATAACATATTGGTGACCACGACGTGACCGGTCGAGAATACTTATTGGCGTGCTGAAAAAAAAACCGATAAACTTGCGTTTTACATTTTGGTGTCGAATATAGGTTTTATTGCATTTTTCATTGGCCGTTTTGACGTAGTCGCTGCATTTGCTCGGGTTTGATGCTTTTCATATGTTTTTGTATATAGTTTTCTTTTTCTTATTTCACTTGCCGTTTTGACGTTTTCACTGGAATTGTTCGGGGTTGATGTTCTGGGTATGGTTTTTATTTCTTGTTTCTTTGGAAATTTTGACGTCTTCGCCGCATTGGTTATCTTGTATCGTTTTTATTATTACGTCGGATTTCCGTTAAAAGTGAAGATTGAACTGAACTTTCGAGAAGCAATTTCAGAATGCTGATATACTTATATGATATTGTCTAAAGATTGTTCAAGACAGACTTTAATTCCGCTCGTTTTCTTTTTGATAACTCGAAAACAAAATCCGTGGTTGCACTCATTTCGGCAAAACTTTGGAAATATTGTGAAATTGTTTAGTTATTCACGTAGTTAAAATGGAAGCAACGGTAGAAGAATTACAAAACCGTGTGTCTGCTATGCAGGCAGCCCTGGAGGGAAACGCCCAGTCGGGACTTTTTAAACAACCGCCTTTCAGTGGATTCCAAAATGAAGACGTAAATGAATGGGTTGTAAAATTTAATCGACTTGCCAGGTTCTATGGTTGGGGCAATGCAAAAAAATTAAGTGCACTTCCATTGCTGCTTAATGGCCCAGCTTTGGCATGGTTTCAGACGCTCTCAGACGAAACTGCAGGAACTTTCGATAGCTTAATTGAAGCTTTAATTGCAAGATTTGGCAACCAAAACATCCAGTTTTTGATACGGCAAGAACTTTATGCCCGAAAACAGCTCGAACATGAGCCTCTAGTAACCTACACTGAAGACATCATAAAAAAGTGTCAACGACTGAATCTAAATGAGTTAGAAATGATGAACATTTTCATAAACGGCCTACGCGCAGAACTAAAGAACCATGTTGTTTTAAACCAGCCAAAAACTTTCACAGAGGCAGAAAACCTTGCCCGCCTCCGTGACGCCGTTTCAAAGTCTTTCGGCCCAACCGTCCCGCAAACCATTTCGCAAGACCAGCGTATTAAAGAACTTGAGGGCCAAGTTAATATATTGCTTGCGTTGGCTAGCAACAAGAGAACCGGCCAGTTAAACGCTTTAGATCAAATTGATTATGGTAACAACTTGGGTGGTGGTACATATGTTGCAAATCAAAGCTCTTTTCAAAGTGACCTCCTGAATCTTAAAACAGAGCTAATTGCTGCAATTGATCAACGTTTTGTGTCTGGCAAACCTCAACCCATGAACAGGCTTCAACAAGGCGTAAGGGAAAGCTATGCAAGGGGGCGTAATTTACGTACCACCGATGGGCAACCTATTTGCAACAACTGCTATCGTGTGGGTCATGT